AAGTACAAGTAGCAATGAACAAAATCATTATGCAAATTACAAAACTTATTTCAAAGATAGTGAAGGGTTAGTGATTACCAACTTACAAGTAATGAAGTTGAGGGAAATGAGTAATCTGATTGCAAGCAAGCATGCAAACTCCTTGGCGTACTAAAAACTGCCTTTAGATCATAAGAATTAATGCGTAGCACTCACATTAATCATGCAAGCAAATACATCTATCCTCTACAAGCAGAGGGATTTGGCATGCAAGTGAATATAACAATCTACCATTCAGTGTGCATAAAGAAAATATGCAAATGAATGCATCAACATCTCTGCCATCAACCACTAAAGGTGCTTAATGAGGACATTTTAGGTGCAATGGGCATCATCATTGAAGGGGACAATAAATCAAACATGGAGTGGCTACAAAAGAACGTTCAGTTCGGCAAGTGGAGGTGCAACTCATTGGATTTTGATCATTCATTTGTTAACGATTTTAATCATGTAATTTTCAACTATATGCCTAGAAGATTTAATAGGGCTGCTGATTTCTGTGCTAAGCTTGTTCTTTCATCCTCTTTTTTATGGAGGCAAGAGCAAGATTTTAACTCCTTAGATGTTTTTGTTAATATACTTAAGGAGGATGCTTTTATACCTCCTTAGGATAGAATTTGTATTTTTTCCTCTTTAGTTAATAAATGCCTTTTCATGGCTTTTGTTCAAAAAAAAAAAAAAAAAAAAAACACTCAATGTTAAATCCAATACACTTGTCCTCCACATATAAAGAGATTAGACATGCGATGATTTCAAAGACGCCCTCACAATTAATGCCAATCAAATATCTACAAATACTTAAAGCTCCCTGCAAGTGAAGGAAGTTGATAGGCAACAGATGTAATGAGTTGCTCGAGATAAGGTGCAGTTCATAGGAAATCAATGATAAAAGAGTTGTTGTGTATACAACAATCTGTTTACAAGAAGGGATAGCATACCTGTAATGCATGTAACATCTAGCCTACGAGCGAAAAGGGAGGTTTGTAACAATTATAAGGAAAATGCAGTGGATATTATAATAACCATATGATCATTAATAGTCAGTTCATAGATGAGCACATCTAATAAGGAGAAAATGAATACAATTGTGTGTTCATGAATATAGTATGAAAGGTGCACAATGAGTGTAGTGATACCCCTATAATTGGCATTGAGCAATATGCAAGCACACATACTAATCTCCTATAGATGCAAGAAATCATTATATAAGCTAGCGAACGTAGCAATTTTCCAACTAGTATATATAAAGAAATTGATAATGAAAGTAACCCAGCCTGCAATCAGCAACAAGAAACAAATGAATACACTACATTGTCTGTGAATGATAATGTCAAATATGTTACATGTATGACAGTTACCCATTAACGTATTTAAGATGAATGCAACAACATCTTGACGTCAGTGTCAACAAATGAACGAGCTCATTGAACCTCACAAACAGTTAAGCTCCTTGTAAACATACACAATGCAATATGTGATCAATACAAACACTTGCTAGCAATGATAGAGGATTCGCCATATGCATAATAATCCTATGAGTGCTAATTAGAAATTTGTAATGGATGTTATAGTACACTTATAGTCAAGGAGCACGTAATGGCAGACAAATGTACTAGTCATCTACATGCTAAAACAAAATAGGGTGTCACTCATCCAAATGATAGTTTCCTACAAAATTGATCAGCATTAAGCATTCTAAAATGTCCACATACATGCACTACAATATATACACGCAAACACAGAAATGAATATGCAATCAAATACTTATATAGGCCCCGACAAGCAAGTTATGGGTACGCACGTAATGTCTAGGGATGCTGCATGGGTCAATAAATGAATTTAAGTTTGAAATCAATATTTCTATGCAAGCAGATAGAGGTTAACACGACTCAAACCATCAAATAAATTTACGGTCACTACATCGACTATGATATTTGTTTCAATACGTTCATGTTAGGCCTTAAAGGCCTGTAACCAAGAAACTTCATTGACAAAGACCTAAAGCCAATAAAGAACCTGATCCTCTGTCAGCAGTTATATAATTATAAAAAATATCCCCACACACGCATTATATATTTGTATACCACAAATACACAAAAATGCATATGTAATCATACACATGTATGAGCCCCAGCCAGTATGGTTATGAGCACACACGTGATGTCTAGGGATGTTGTGTGAGTCAAACAATAAATCTAAGTTCGAGTGTAATCCTTCTATGCTAGTAGATAGAAGTTGACACGTCTTGGACCATCAAACAAATATACGATCGTGGTATGAACCATAATATTTAATTTATAGTTCATATTAGGCCTTCAAGGTCTATAATAATAAAAATTCACTAATAAGAGCATACAAAAGACAATAAATATGATCCTTTGTTAGCAAGTTGACAGAATTGACAAAGTTCAATCAATAAAATAAAATTCTTCATAAATACCCCGATGATGGACGTGTTGAACGCAGATCTCAATCAGAGGAGTTTATTCTAAATATTCAAAATGTCATTTAAAGGCCTACAAAAATTCAAATATCAAAAGCTATCAAAACCCAAAATATTTAAAATGGAAATTTAATATCAACACTCAAAGAAAATACCCATCCACCCTCCACAATAATTTGTCGTGGACAAATTTAAATATCACTTTAACTTACAAAGAGCTAATGTCTGATCGAGAATATTACTAGGATTCATACTCAAATAATCTCTTGCCAGCAAGGACATGGAACATGTCCACTAATGAATGGTTTTGTCTCCAAAAGGCACAACAGGTAAATGGTTATGACCGAGGCCATCTAAACCAGGTAGTTTACCACCAAATGACAACACTAAATTACGGTCATAGTCAAAGCCCGTAAGCTCCCCAATAGCACTAAATCCTTGAGATGTGAATCAATATGATATAAATAATATGGCACAAATCCCTCTGTTAATTAACGTAGATTCAAATTAATCCCGTTAGATAAATAGACACCCTGGTCTACAAGGTACCCTTGGATGAGGCGACTCATGGCTACCAACAAGGATCATTTTGTCAGGTTGTGTCAACTACATCCTCTGACTGAGTAGCCCAGGGACAACGATGACCTGGGACAACATAACCATGGGATCGTGATTGGGCTCATCACCATTCCCATATCATATGCTTTAAGTGCAAGATTGTGAAAAATATCTAATTTTAAATATCAAATCTTCAAACACCTAAACACATGTTGCTACTATATGATAGATATCACATATTCCTACATATCTGTTTGACGACTAACCTTAATCGAATGTTCTCTCTCATTATCGGGAGTGATAATTAACTATAGGGGGCTTACGCTTATAGGAAACCAGAACTCATATCATAAAGTCTTTGTAAAATAAGGGTGAAATCTCTATGTAGCGTCTTATCTTCAAAAACAATCTGTCATCTAAAAATTTATCTCGAAACTTAATCCATTAAAACTACCCCGAAAGCAGAGGGGGGGTCGAGGCGCGAATTTTTGGAGCCCACAATATTAATAAATGAAACTTACCTAATATATCAACAAGTCTTCAAATGCCTTGAAATGATCAAAATGGTTTTTATTAGATAATCTACACAAACTAAATAAACCATGATGTTATGAGTACTAAATCAATAAACTTCTAAAGGCAAAAACCCTAGAACATATAGATGAATGAGTTTTTTTATTACTATTCCTTGCTATTAAAGATGTAATGAGCTTGGTCAATAATTTATTATACACATTGCTTTCCTCAAGTAGAGTGCCATATGTTAACCTAAGCTTAGCTTGTTTTAAAGTATTCCCTTAAGCAAGGTGTAAAATGCGTAAGAGGCACATTGGCCAAAATCACTCTACTAATGGGAAGATTGAGACTTCCAATTTACATGCAAAGTAGCCAAGGGCTACCTTACAACTATTATTATCAAATCAGGTTATGAAAGTAAATTGTGTCCTCAATGCAATCAAAATCCAAAAGGCTAAGTCATATTGTCGGTCATGTTATAGTGGTTGAATGAAGCTTGATCGTTAGCATAATCAATCAACTTATTATCCTTAATAAAGAGTGGCATTGGCATCAAAGCTAATATAAAAAACCCTATATCGTTGAGCTCGTGCGCATTTGTTCTTAAGAGTGTCATCATGCTTAAAACCAGTTGAAGCCTTCCGTTAAGGATATCATCTATCGTACTAAAGTACATCTAAAATATGAAATCCATCGCTTAGTATTCAGAAGTAAAAGAGTGAAGTTGTGGACCATATTCAAAACGTTTCTTTCTTAGCTGCTTTGCCCTTACTATCAATTACGATTATTATGTGTTGTTAGTGTGATCATAGAATATAATTCAAATAATGATAAGTACATTTACAAGGGCATCTGCTGTACAACAAATTCCAGCTTCTCTCTCTAAAAAGAAGAGTTGTGCTCTCCCCTTTAAGAAAAATAAACAAATTGCGAGTCTCCTTACAAAAAAGATGAATGTTGTGCACCTTGAAAAAGTTTTGGGTCGCTAAAAAAACTTCCAATTATATTTATTAATAAATTTAAAATTCAATTGGTGCAGTGTACATCATATTTCTTTGAGAAATGAAATAAACGAGAATACAAATTGTCATGCCTGAATTGGGGCAAATTATTAGGTTCGGTCACCTAATTCAAAAATACATCCAGATTTTTCTCTATTTACAGTAAAACGCAATTACTATAGCAACTGCACTTTTACTGTAGACAGAGAGAAATCCGGATGTCTCTCTCTGTCAGATGACCGGACCTAATAATTTGCCCTGAATTGGTGCCGTTCAAGTCTATCCATGTCTCTAACACAATTCCTGACTCGATATAATATCGTAGAACTAAAATATGGTAAAATCGTAAATCATTATTACCCTAAGACTAACATACATAGAGCAATATTACTAACAGTTTCCATGAAGAAACAACAAAATTCAAATATAGAGCACCACCGATATGTCAATGCAAAGAATCGGAAACTATCCATATGTTCTATACATATTTTGTACCACACGATTGAGTTGCAACTTTGGCATAAAACACCAAAAGTGAAGGTTCAACAATCTCCACAAAAGCAACGCTTTTTGGAAAATAAACCAACTGAATTTCCCTGCAATTACCAAATCAAGTCTCCAACGAGATTTTATAGTCGTTACATAAATAAAGTAGCCTGGCATCTTAAAGATACATAGAACATAATCAAAATCCTACAGAAGGATTAACTTAAGCACTAACTTGAGAAGTTTGAACGCAGGTCATAGTAGCACTAATAGAAATCGGATCAAAAACCATGAAAATTGATAGTCGTCAAAGGTAGCTTACTAGCCACATCTCTCATTTGAATCATCCATACAAAACGAGCCAACCAGAGAATGACGGGGAATAATCAAATACACGCAACGGCTAAATACCATTAAGGAGTAAATGTTTCATCAGCAAATAACGCCAAGTACCACTTCTGTTCATCAAGAAAATTAACGCCTACTACGAGGCCCAGCAGAAGAACGTGGACCAGGAAAGCGAGCGAACTGCAGCCTCAAACGGGCTGACTCTCGATCATGCTCATCAAAACAATAACCTGCAAAAGCTAAATTGTGACTATCTTCGACCGTGCATGCTTTCTATGGACATAAGAGGATCCATATAGCAAATCATTCTGCATTTTGACATGTCACAATACAACATCAAAAATTTGCACTCAAATTGAACGCCATGAAGATAATTTACAATAAGATCTTAGTAAATACCCACAAAAACCCGGGAAATGCCTTCTTTTTTTTTTTTAATATCAGATAGTGAGACCGTTCAACAACAATACGCAAGGAAAAAAGCCCCAATGGCATCCCTGCCACGGGTAATCAAGGAAAGCTAACATACAAGATCCATTTATGAACTTGTCTGCATAGTCCCAAAAAAAACTGCACACGAAAACACTTTATGTACCAAACTGATGAAACATAAGTTCTATGGTCAAGAAGGAGAACATTAGGAAGGCAATAAGATACTTCCTTTCAATAAACATAAACCAACACCAACATAATGAAACTTAACAATAAACATATATAAATAAATGATTAGAAAATTTTATAAAGAAACAAACTAAAACTTAAAATTAACCACTCTCAGAACAACCTATAAAGGTCACCTTACATGTAAATCACGAAAATAGAAAACGGTGCTCAAAAGAAAAAATCAAACTAGTGATATGCCACGGAAATTATGATCAGTTCAAGTTGGGGCTCCTCTAGCAAATACCAACAAACAGGGCACAACAATACCTTACACTCACAATATTTGGAGAATAAAGATACAGTGGAAGGAAAACTGTCGAGAAAAGAAATAGATAGAAGACCGAGAAGAAGAAATAGGTGTAGGAAGAAGATAGTTTTCAAGCTAAGAAGAAAAACCTCAGATTTAGATTCCTTTTCAACAACAACCACCACCATCCAGCAGTAAATCAGCCATATTTTATAGGAGGTCTTAATAGCTCACATAAATGTGCCACCCAACTAGCCAATAGAAACCAATCAATACAACCACTTTTTGAGACCATAAAACACTATTCTAGGAATCAGCATGGAGGAAAATGAACGGCCAGCAGCAGGGAAACCAAAGCCTACTTGGAAAACCAACAACCAACCAACATGGGAATTTGAATTCAGCATGGGCAACCAACATCAGGTAAATCTGAAATCAGCTTGGAAAACCAACAGCTGACAAACATGGGAAGAGATGGCCAAGCCCAACAAGAAAAAAACATCCCAAAGATTAAATACCCCCACCAAGGAGCAAGGAAATAAATTCAACATAAGTGGAAAGCCAATTGAGAGAAATTATCTAAAAACATCAAACCCAAGCATGATCATGGGTTGATTTTCATCATAAGACACATAAAAAAACATAGTCCAAAACTATATAGCATCTAAAACATAAGAAAATAAAATACAAAATATAAAATGATAATCCTTGATTGCATCAATTCTCCCCAAGTGGAAGAATCTCATCTCCTGATGAGAATACCTCAATAACATGCTGATAGATATCAGGACGACGAATCTATAATTCCTTTGCTTCAATCCAAGAGCAGTTATAGTCAAGGGATGTCCAATCTATTTAACCAGAAACCGTCTATACACTCCACGCTTTGTCTGGGCAGTTCGGATGTCCAAAACATCATTAATGCGATCATCTTTGGTATGAACTGGAATAGTAAAGGGCATAGTTTCTACGTCTACTGAATAAGTTGATTTTCCTTCATATATAGTAAGATAAGCAAGATTAAACAGTGGAAGTTCCAACAAAAAGGTGGAAGATCCAGCAGGTAAGCATTTATTCCCAATCTTCGTAGTATCCGGAAAGGACCAAGTTTCTTTCGACTTAGTTTGCCAAATGTACTAATGCGAAAGCGTTGTTGTTGAAAGTAAGTCATAACTAAATCTCCCCCATAAAAATAACATACTATCCGATGTTTGTCAGCAACTGTTTTGTATTTAGCAATTGCCATAATTTCTCTAGGACCTGATGTTGGACCGATTGAACATAATTAACAATTTCTATAGCTTCAACACTGATTCTACTAAGCATGAATATTGAAGTTTAGTCTAAGATGTGGGGAATAGGTTAGTCATAAATAATTTCAAACATACTCTCCGATGTTTGGTCTAAAGATGTGGGGAATAGGTTAAGGGAATTGTTATAAGCAAATTCGGCTTCGGGTAAAATCAAATCCCATTGAGAAAGTCTTTCACCATATGGACACCTAAGCAAATTTCCTAAACTTTAGTTTACTGCTTCAGTTTGTCCATCCGTTTGAGGATGATATGCATTGCTGAATTAGAGAGTAGTCCCTAATTTTGACTAAAGTGTTATCCAAAAATGACTAAAGAACCTAATATCCCTATCAAGGGTAAAAAGTTCTATATATGTCATGCAATCTTATAATTTTTTTTAAAAAATAAATCAACGACAAGAGATGCATCAGAGGTTTTCTTACATGGCATGAAATGTGTCATTTTGCTAAATCGGTCAACAACAACAAACACAATCAAACTTTTGGTTGTTAAAGCTAATCCCAAAATGAAGTTCATGGAGATATATTCCCAATATTTATTTGAAACTGGAAGTGGAGTGTATAGACCAGTGTTTTGAGTAGTTCTTTTGAATGATTGACAGGTTTTACATTGTTTTAAAAACTTCATTATATGTTTTCACGTGTGTGGCAAATAATATCGTTCTTCAACTAACTTTGTAGTCTTTCCTTGATTAAAATATCCTCCCAAACCTCCACCATGAAGTTCTTGGATGAATTTTTCACGTAAAGAGCTTTGGGTGATACAAAGTCTAGTTCCCTTAAATAGAAATCATTGTTGGATGATAAATTGAGCAAAAGGGTCAATTCCAGAAGTACAACATGATTCTCAAATAGTTTTAAAGTATGGGTTAGTGGCATAGCTATCTTTAAAAAAATCAAGGAAAATCACAGTTGGGTGGATAGTTACCAATAAATGGCTTCATCTGCTTAAGGCATCAGCAACTTTATTCAAAATTTCAGCTTTGTGTTTAAAATGAAATGTATATTCTTGTAAGAAAGATGTCCACTTAGCATGTCTTTAATTCAAATTTTTTTGAGATCCTAAGTATCGTAGTGCTTCATGAACAGAATTTAGCATAAATTCTCTTTGAAAAAGATAGTCTCCTAAATTTTAGGGCCTCGACAATCGCATAGAACTCAACATCGTAAGTTGAATATCGAGATCGGGTATCATTGAGTTTTTCGTTAAAGAAAGCAACAAGTCGACCCTTTCGAATAAGGACAGCTCCTATCGTTATATGGGATGCATCACAGCCTACTTCAAACATCTTGTCAAAATTAAGTAACCTACGAATAGGTGCTTGGCTCATTTTTGTTTTAATCAGATAAAAAACTTCTTCAACTAAAGGGGCCCACCTGAAAGTTCCCTTTTTAAGACGATCAGTGATGGGTGAAATCAAATTACTAAATTTTTTCTTGAATCATTGGTAAAAGAGACTATTTCATGAAATCTTCTAAGTTCACTAATAGTTTTTGGAGTCAGCTAGCTTTGAATTGCTTCAATTTTAATGGAATCCACTTTAATACCATGATCAGAGACTATATCAAAGAAAAGTCAAGCTATGAGTCATGAAAGTGTACTTTTTTAAGTTGATGTATAAGCTTTGTTCTCTTAATGTTTGAACGCCTTGTTTCACATGTTCAAGATGATCATTGGGACAAGTGTTATAAATCAGGATATAATCAAAGTAAACAAAACAAAATTTCCAATAAAGAGACGTAGGACATGATTCATGTTTCGCATAAATGTGCTAGAAGCATTTGATAGTCCAAAGGGCATGACTAGCCATTTGTAAAGTTCTTCCTTAGTTTTAAAAGCTGCTTTTTACTCATCACCGGGTCGTATTCCGATTTGGTCAAATCGACTTCTCAAGTCAATCTTCGAGAAAATTTGGGCACCACTAAGCATATCTAGCATATCGTCAAGTTTTGGGATTGAAAACCTATACTTGATGGTTATATTCTTTATAGCCCGACTGTCAACACACATTTTTCAAGTTCCATCTTTTTTAGGGGTAAGCAGTGTTGGGACAGCACATGGACTCATGCTTTCTCTGATTAATCTTTTAGTTATGAGTTTAGTTACTTGCTTGCGGAGTTCTTTATGTTCAGTAAGACTCATACGATAGTGAGGCGGGTGGGGTAAATTTGCTCCGTGTACAAGCTCAATATGATGTTGAATAACTTTTAGTGGAGGCAAGGAATCAAGTAGTTCTTCAGGAGTTATATCTTCATATTCGTTGATAAGAAGTTGAATTTCTTCAGGAATTTTTTTGTTTACTTCAATCTCTTTTCCTTCCAGAAGATAAATCACTTTGAGGATATAGGGTGACTCCTAGTTGTCTTGAGCCATGGTATAAGTGTTTTTCTCTCCATTGTGAATGATCTTATGGTCATATTGTCAAGGCTAACCTAGTAGAATATGACATACTTCGAATGTCATGATGTCACATAACACTTGGTCATTGTAAAATTTCCCAATTGAAAGGTTGACAAGGCATTGCTGATTAATTGGTACCTCTCCTCCTTCCTTAAACCATGATATTTTGTAAGGTTTGGCAAGAGGTTTTGGTTTTAATTTTAGTTTATCCACCATGCATTGCAATACAAAATTTTCAGAGCAACCATTATCAATCATGAGGGTACATAATTTTCCTTCTACAATTGAAAAACATTTCTTCTAAGCCATTTATCTCCAACATCTGATTTGGTGGTCAAGACCCTACAGATAACTAAATAATAATCTCCTTGGTCAAGTTCAACATCACTTGATTTTATCTCTTTCTCGTTTTCTTCTTCAAATTCATCTTCCTTTGAATTTTCATGGTTTTCCTCTTGTTCAATGTAGTTGGTTTTAGATGGGTTATTTTTCTACATGCTACTGAAAGATGACCATACAAGCCACATTTATAATATGGTCCAATTGGTTTTGCTCATATCACCCCTTTTCCTTTTTCATTTACTTGAGTTTCATTAGGCTTTGTTCA